CTCAGGCCAAGATTACAGGACATCACAGGGATTAGTGTGTGTTCTGGTTGCTTTTGAAGGTAGATGCAAGCTCCTCAGTTTTACAGAAGAGCATTTGCAATAGTGAAAGATAAGCTAATAAAACTGGTTCAATTTCAATCTAAACCAAGAGCACAGTCCAATTTTGTGTTTGCTCTTAAACCCCTTTTAAAATGCTGAATTTCTACACTTCTGTTGTGTCATGATTGATTCTGTGTATACACCGAGGAAATACATTATTTACACTACCTGAACTGCGGAGGGCTGTGAGCTCCAACATAGATTTGCTCCCTTGCAGATACTGGTCTAAAGGAGTTGCATCTTACCTAATAAAAAAGAAAAAACAGAAACAGGCATGTTATCTGAGATGACTTTGTAAATAAAGCAGAATGTAATGTCACTTTTCTTAAGCCTATTACTTATAGAATGCATACAATGGAAAGACACCATAAATTTCTACTTTGTTTCACCTTTGCCAACCTGCAGTTTTCTGTTGGTATATTCTCTTGTTTTTCAAATCCCCTTATGGATCCAGTCTCCACCCACTGTTATTCTCTACCCACTCATTCTCATCATCTAGTCACAGCCACTTTACTAGTTCTTTTTTTGAAGTTCTCTATAATGGTAACTTGCTTTTCAGCTTGTGCTGCAGCAATTCACACATTATTAATTACCAAAGATACTTCTTGGTCTCAAAGCTATGTAATATGCATAAAAGGTACACATAATGATGCTTATCATCTCCAAAACTGCAGATATATTACCTGACATAATCCATGTTGGAATGTCAGTTTCTTTTGAAATTACACATTTTCCACATTTCCATCAGTGGTTCCCAATTCACTATTCCTGATAAGATACTTGACCCAATTGTAACTGACCACAAAGCAGGGTAGACAGAATATTTGCACAACTGAATAATCCCTCTTGTGCTGTACCCATTGCATGAAAAATCTCATTTGAGCTGTCCCCATCCTACCTAATTCCCTCTACTGAATGTTCCTATCAACAAAATCCTTTAAGCCAGATAGCCCATAGGATTTCAATGGACTTCAGTACAATTTTGTCTGGCTGAAGACAACCCTGACAGTTTGAATAAGTCTGTTGAGTAGCTTGAGCTCTGTGGAAATAGGCTAAGCTCATGGGTGCCTGGGATACACTGTTCAACTGATGGGTAGAGTTTTATAGCCCAACTTTTACTTCTTATGTAGGGTGTTTGTTACAACTTGTTTAACCAAATAAATATTTTCTGATGCTCTCCCTTGTTCTACATGCTTGTCTAAGAAACTCACATCCCTTATACAAGTTTTGTTACAGCATATTTAGTGCACAGATGGGCAAAAATAAACTAAGACTTTCTTCACTACTGCTTAGTTTTCTTGAACAACATAGTAACAAATGGTGGTGGTACATTTTCAACAGGAGCCTGTGGTGGAAGCAGCCAGAAACTCCTGTGTATTGCAAGCAACAGAAATCTGGGAAGCTAAGACTGAAGAAAGCTAAGGAGCCAACGTGCACAAGAAGACTTTTTTACTGGAGGGAAATAGCAAGAAGAAAGCAAGCTGCTGTGACAACACTGTGCAAAACCAAGACTAATTTCAGCAGTTCTAGCACCATGGATAGATGAGGACAAAGAGGAAAGGAGAAAAGAAATAATAGTCCTGGGAGAAGTCTCTACTGAAACCCTGAAAAGTCTGGGTTTGGTTGGTGTAGAATGTTAAAACAAAGCAGTCTCATCTCTGCACTGCACATTGTGCAGGTTAATAGATGGGGTCTTGAAACACATTTGTACTACTCACATGGGCATAACTCAGGAAGAAAAGCTGGTTGTGTGTGAACTCAAGGCCTGGCAGTAAAGGCTCTTCTTCTCCTCCCCTCTTTTCTGTAATCCATTTCCTGTATGCCTGATAAGAAAGAGATACCAAGTGCCTTTCAGCAGAATGAAGATAACCACTGCTTTTTTTCTTTCCTTTTTTTTTTATTTTTAATGTAATACTATGTTTTAGATATTTTTCATCTACTTACCCTGAAAGCTTCTCTCAAACCTCCATTATCTGCAATGTTTTCTGCCAAAGTCCTCTTGCCTTTCACCTGGTAGAACGGAAGATATCAGTCATTTGACCTGTTTCTGAACTTCCTTCTTGATTAACTTCAAGAAGCAGGAGAAAAAGTAAAACAAGATGAGAACGACATCAGCCAATTTCAGCTATCATAACTTTGGTTAAGAAAACTGGTTTTCCATGTGAAAACTGTCAGTAAACAATTTTCTGTGATGAGTTATCCTGGCTCTGGTCCTAGATCTCTGTAGCACAAAATATAGTTGATAAAGTGCACTTAAGAATTCAGTCCCTGATCTTTGATCTGAGCATCAGTAACTTTCCCATAAAGACTGGTTTTATCTGGTTACATGTAAGATCCAGTAGCCCCTTTCTTAAATTTTTATCTAAAAGGTTATATTTGTTTCTCTACATAACTCTTAATATACTACTGGGATTCTAAAATAACTTTTAAGCCACAGTGTAAACAAGAATAATTAAAAATAACTGTCAGAGACAGAATTAAAATTGATAGTATATTCAGTGCTCTAAGAATATCTGCAAAGGAGATTCCTGTTGCTTCTCCCCAGTATTGATTCCAAGAGCAAGAGCAACAAGAACACATTGCAAGAAACAGCACTATATAAACTTTGTGAGGAAGTCAGTCTCCTGGCACTGCAAAGTGCAATATCATTATGAAGAAATCCTAATTTCTGCTTCAGTAGCATTATCTCTGCTCATCCAACCTACTAAGGTCTTAGTGTTATGAACTGTATTCGTAATTAATCAGTTTTATCCTCTACTATGCCATGAATAAACAAGATAATTGAGCACAGTTTTGGGCCGAGCTCTGAAGGTCAATGCTGGTCTGCAGATCCTCCAGTGATAGGCTCTTGCACGCTGCAGGGATCAGCATGGCAGGGTTGGCATCAGGACTCACCTTAGTTTCAGGATGGTAAAAGAGGGGGAAATGGGGCAGAAGAGGTAAAAGAATCAAGGGTGTACACAGGTATTTGTGCACAGCCCCACCACTCCGAGCACACGAATATCCAGGTTGGAGTCGCTTGATGCCTTGGGTACAGTGCTACACACATGGGGGTAACGAAGGAGAAGTGGGAGCAGCAGATGGAAGTGCAACCCTTTTGTGTCAGCTCTCCACTGCTCTCAGGAGGCTGGAGATGGAGGTGAGAGAGAGGCTTTTAGGAGAAAAGGTTCTGGGACACCAGGGCACACACACACTCCCACTCCAGCTGCCTTTTTTCCTGGCCTACCTCCTCATAAATTTTCCTTGCAGTGTGCTTGTGACGGAGACTGATTTTGAGCATAAGATGAGAGTAACCTGACAATGGCACTTGGGCCACAGGTCATTTTAATAAGTGGAAGAAGTCTTTCTGCTGGTCTCAGGCAGCTCTGGATCAGGTATCTGAGACTCCTCTGTGCAGACAGTCTGTGGCAGGGTTCAGGGACCACCATAAGCCCTTTATTTGATGAGATGACTTACTGTGATTATTGCACTCTGAAGCTATTTCTGCATTCACTTTTTCTTTCATTGCGCTTCTTTTCTGGAGACATTTTTATTATAAACCAGTTGAGAAAGAATTAGAGTAACTGGGTTTCTTGATCCATGAAAACTATTCATACAGGGGTAAAAAATCTGAAGAATATTGATGCAAATGACAGGAAAAAGAAAGAAGAAAGCTCTTTGCTTGCATAGATCTTCATACAGAAGATATAAAATATGTCAGAAAATATGAAGATTCTCCTATCACCTAAAAAGTGTTTTTGCTATCCCCTAGAAATAGAAGGAATGGGATGAAAAGGCTGTGGTAACAGGATCTCTCTAATAAGCCCATCCATGGACTTCAAAGGCAGCAGTTACACTGGAGAGGAAATTCAGACCTACCTCATTTCAAGAGACAGTGCAGAAGCAAAAAGAGAAGGCCAAGCCAATGGCAGAAGCATGGTAAGAGCTCAGCCTTATCCTTGGGGAAGGTTTTAATGACCTTCTTTAAGGACATTTTTGTATTGACAGTTTTCGTCCTACAGATATTCAGGAATAAGGCTGAGAATTTTTATTTGTAACTTAGCTCGTATGAAGTACTCAAGTCTGAGTTGCTGGACTTCAGACTGGACCACAATATGGCTTTGTTGTCTCTGAGACTGACACAAACAGCACAGGAAAAGTGTTCAAATTATTGCTAAGCATTACATGTGACCTCTCTATGCTTAAAATTCAAAGATGCAATAGTGTTTCTAAAATGCAAGTAGAAGTGATAGAATTGAGTGGGGAATGGAGTATATGTTTTATCCTGAAAATTAAGATTAAAATCACATCCCAGAGCATATTACTGGAATTTCAGCTATTCATTTCTAAAGGTCTGGGATTTATCCTATTTATCCTCATTTTAGACACTTACATAATGTGCTGATTTTCAGGGAAGCCCATAGCTCTGATAGACAATAAACCAGAAACCATTCCCTTGCACTTTCTTTCTCAATCCTTTTCTATGAGCTACTGCTATCATACTTCCTTGATTAGACATACAAATGGGGTCTGTGCACACGCACGGAAGAAATAGCAAGAGCTGAATCTGAAATAAAGTAGGGTTTATGCACACATTTTATAGCAGCAATAAATAACAGGCAGAATTGCTAAAGGAATCTATAAAGAATGCTATTATATTCTTTCTAAAAAGAGTGACTGCTCAGTTTTCATTACAGACCTCATTTTCAGAAGACATTTAACATCATCACAATAATTAGACCAGCCCTGCTGAGTGGCTTTATCTTCTTCCTCTGATTGCAAAATTAGATGATGGGGAGAAGTGGTTTAACCCTGTCACCAGTGTGTGAGAAGCAGTATTTGACTGGACTAATTAAACCTGACAGACAATTTTTAACACAATTATTCATTTCAAAAAATCATTTGTTGTGAGAAATGAAGTTGGTGGCTTAATATCCCAGCATGTTGGAATTTATAAAGAGAGAACTTAAAGAAGAAAACCAAGAACCAAGACTCTTAATGTGCCACTGTTTTCAGCCACTGGTGGTTTACATACATATAATCCAGCTCGCTTCCAGTAGTAATTGTTGTATTGATTAATCATGCATTTTGTTTTCTCTTTAAATTTTTCTTCAGAGTCAGTTGTCCACCAAGGGTCTAAATTTCCATTTTTGTCATATTTCCGACCTTAAAAAAGAAAGAAAAAAATGTTTTTGTAGAACTAAACTTCTCCAGTTTGGGAATCTATCATCTGCACAGAAATGAGAGGTGAGTGTACTCATACAAGTTTGTGTACAAAATGGATAGGACCAGTGAGCAGAATCTTGACCTGACTCAAGAGAGCAGTGAAAAGCTGACATTCTATTTATTGTCATCATTTCCATTTGCAGAAAAAAAAAAAAAAGACTAATGAGTTCTATAGTACATTTTATAATTATATAGTGTAAAAGGCATTTGAGCTTTCTTGTAAGTGTAATTGTAAGTATTTTTCATCCTCAGCCCACAGGTCTTTGATTCTGCAAATATGATGAGAACTAGTTTGTTATTAATAAATTCTGCACTTGACCAGAAACAAACCAATTCATTTCATGGAAACTTCTAAAGTTTCCATTTTTGATTTAGGAGCAAAACCAGAACATTTGAATCCTATTCATGGAAGTAAGGAGAATACATACATCCCATTCCCCAGGCATTTGGTTACTGCAATGCCTCATGGAAGTTTCAGTCTCAGGTCACTGCTCTCTCTCTCATTTGTAGGAGAGTATCTAAACTCCATCATGACTCCAGCCAGACATTGAGACATGTCTGGACTTTTTTTGAGAGCAGGTTTAGCTGCCCATGAGCATACAGCCTTGCCCTGTGATTTGATTCTTCTTTGCAACTACAGGAAAGACAGGTAAGGAGCAACCAATAGACATGATACCAAGTACTGAAGATGTTTTCTTTCCTTCTTTTTTTTTTTCTTCTTTTCCCCCACCCTGTGTGTTATCTTGTTCTAGATGACAAAATCCCTAGAGATTTATTTCTATATTTGAAAGGTAAGACCCTGGCAAGGAGTAGGGGTCAGCTTAGGAAATCAAATCTTAAGTTCCTTTCTGACTGGCAGGAGACAAGATGGGGATTAGATACTCACCTACACATGAGATGGGAGTTTGTGAAGAAAAATTCCTCCATTCTGGTGAGTTTGCTGGCACAAAATGTTGTGGAGCAGTGCCAACAGGACACAATTTTGGGTTTGGTTTTTTTTTTTTGCATTTGTTTGGGTTTGGTTTTGTTTTTAAAATATATTCAATGTAACAAACTCAAAATTGCTCCCAGGAGGAGAAGATTCATGTTTCTCTCTCTCTGCACCATCCCCTAACCTTCCCCCTTCTCTCAGGAGTCTGATTTTTAAAAGCACTTTACTGAGACAGCCAAACCTAGATAGTGGTAATGCCCCACTCCACCCCGTTTATCAGGACAATTGGATTGACATTTTCAGGCCATTCTTCTTTTTCCCCTGTCTCTCTCCTTTTATTTTTTTTTAAATATTTTGCATCATCTTTTATATACCACTCTTGTTCCAGTATTGAATTTTAAAACTTTCATAGTTGTCTTTTGAATAATGTTAAAACTGAAATGCAAAGTTTTCTTGGAAGCAATTTTTATCATTCAGAAGTTCTCTCTTTGCCCTTCCCACACCCTCAGTCAGGAGTTTCTGAATCTCTTGTTGATTTAGCTTCCATTCAAGACAAACAATAGAATCAAACGTGGCATTTCTTACCAAACAAAATCTAGTTCAGACAAGCAAGAATCTATGGAAATAAATCAAATAAATACAACTTTAAATTTTTTTCACATAGTTCAGCACTGTTAAAAAACCCCAACACAATAAAAAAGCCAAAGCACGTACAAGTTAGCTTACTAATAGGCCAAATCTGTAAAAAACAAAGTTATGAACATATGGTAAAAGACTCACCATTGCTATCAAATCCATGTGTAAACTCATGGCCAACAATTACTCCTATGGCACCATAACTTAATGACCTGTAATACAAAGAGGCAGTTTCCTCAGAAAGTGTCCACACTCATTAGCATTAAAGGAAAAAAGACCTCAGTAAAGATCATGATTTGTTTTAAAAGGGGAGGAAGAATGAGATGAATATGGGTCTAAAAAGTACACCTGCACAATTTAGACTTAAAGTTATTCAAAGTCTTAATGTTAAACACTTCCATGTTTAAAAGCAACATTTAATCTAAAACTTTCAAAGCACTGCTATGATTCCTCTTCTAACCAAATCCCTTATTAGCATCATATCAGGTCCAAAATGTCTCCCTCAGCTGACTGCATTGTGTATATTCTGAGAACAGGACAAAATTATAGGTGTAGCTATTCTGTTAGCATCGTCATCAAAACAGGAGATCAAAGGCTGCAATGGGCTTCTGTACTGTCAGCTCCGATCATTTTTTTTGCTGGCATGCAACAAAGCCTATACTTTGTAAAGCATTAAACAGATCTTCATCCAGTTTTTTAAAAGAAAGGTCATACAACTTCCTTGCACCTGCCCTGGAATAGAAGATGATACACAGTTGGATCTAATGTACTGGAGAAACAGAATAGAAGGAAATATTTTGTACTCCTGATTAACAGTTAATTATATCTCTCCCTTCCTTGTTGTATTCAAATAAGCATGCATCTGGAAGAAATAGGGATGAAAGGGGGAAAGGTTCAGGGCTTTTTTACACCAAATGCAGAGGCTATCACAGGAGTAGATTTACTAAATGCGTCTTTCATTTGTGATTTTTTGTGATTTTAATTATTTCAGTTATTGAGATGATATACTTCAAAGTAGCTTATAGTATTTCTAACAAATTGTATTGAAATGGAAGAAAGGCAGAAAGTTTTGCAGTAACATGTTATTACTGGACTTAATGATCCATAGTACACTAATTGCTCATCTCAGTCATGCCCAAAAAGTATTATATCATTTAATTCCCTCTGCTCCCATGACAATCCTTCACTTTGGTTTTTTCTTTCCTGAAAGGTAATTTGTATGTGATAAAATCTTCCCCACTGTTTTTTTCCCCCAAGTACTATTACAAAGCATCACTAAAAAATGCTGGTTAAAATTATACATTTCAGCAATGGAAACATCATCCCTTTGTGTGACAAATTTGCAGTCCTGTGTAGCACACAGTGATAATTGCCCATAATAAATGCACTATATTAGACTTGTTTTCCATATCTGAAGTGGTTATACAGAATCTTCTGCAGCTGGAGAAGTACAGAAATTATGGTAGCAAACATGGAAAGAGGTCAAACCCTATTACTAAATACATTTTTTTTTCTACAGTTCTTAGTCACCAAGAGTGGCAGGTCAAAGAACAGGCTGGTGTTCTGACACTTCTGCAGTTTTCCCAGCTCCAGAAGATGGGTTGAGGTTTGGGATGAATTCTGGCCTTTGCTTCTGTGAACCCCTTTGAGCATTTTACCCAGCTCAACAATATTTTTTGACAGAAATTTTCCCATCTCTGTTCATGCTTTTCATTTCTGGGCACAGCTGGACAGAGATAAAGGGGGTTAGGTGCAGCCCAGCAGATACCAGATTAAAAGGGAAATTTCTGGGATTGTGGAGGCTCAGAGAATTGTAAGGAAGCTACAGGCTCAGGTAGTTTGAAGTCTCTATTTCAATATATCTGGCAGTGAAGGCTCATAACTATGAATGATGGCATTTGTATGGTATTTTATTTATTGTACTGAAATGTAAAAGTGATAACTAAGCTTCCCTTTATGCAAATAGATGTAACTGGGTTTAGGTTCTTATGCTGCAACTGGACACTAAAATGCCACTAAATGTTAAATATTTGCTAAATCGGTTTTCCAGCAAGTGCTGATGACTTTTTGATGATTTTTCTGTTCCACTGCCATGTACTGTTTTGTTTAAGTAGACAGAAAACATCCAGAATATTTCAAGGACAAAAGCAACCTGTTGTCTGATATAAACCATCTCCATTTGTTTACTAAATTTCATTTTGATACATACTCAAGCAAAACCAATTTAAGCTAAGGTAACCTTTAAAGAAGATAAATGAGCAAAGTATAATATTTTGAAAGGACCACAATTTTATCACTATGGCAGAAGGTCAGAATACGAAATGAGCAAAGTATAATGTTTTGAAAGGACCACAATATTATCACTATGGCAGAAGGTCAGAATACAGAGAAATCTCTTCAGAAAGCAAAGCTGGAAACAGATCTGCAATAACCATAACAGAAAATAAGTTCACCTTAACAAGAAAGGACATTCTTCTATCCCCAATTACCACTTGGAAAGTCACCTGGATCATAAGCATTCTCTTTGAATGCAAATTAATTTGTTCCTAAATTGAATGTGTCTTGCTACATATATTGCCAAATTTCCTGTTTGCAAGGACACAATCCAGCTTAGAAGATTGCAAACCAAAAGTGTTTGAAAAGTTTGACTTTGTTTTTAACAAAGATTTATTAAGGATATATTTTGCCAGTAACTGATTTTATGTAACTGCAAAATAACTTTGAGAAAGTGCTGTCAGAAACTTTTCATGGTCTTATCCTGCCCTAAAATAGAAAGCTATTGAACTGCACAAAAGCAGTGATTTTTCAAAATTAAATATATGTGACCTATAATTACTCTTCCTCAGCTACAGTAGCACATGGGCCTGCTCAGGCAATCACTTATGCACATGGAGATATTCTCATGTACATCAAGAGGCACAGAGGAAGACTCACTGTTAATCTTAGATATTAGCAGAAAGCTAACAATAAACTGATAATAATTGGCTTTTCGGGGTATTCACTTCTGCTCAGAAAGTGCTGGTTACCTGATTTACAATTCCTTTTTGTACCTGCCATGTGCACACTGCTGCATTTGCATGCTTATAGCATTGAAACACTCCCACTCGAGTGCATTTACTGAGCAGCTCCTGTGAGAAATTCGTCATCGGTTTAAGACGCAGCAACGCATACAGCTCCCAAGGGTGAGAAAAGTTATAGCACAAAGCACCACTTCTCAAAGCCAGTTCTTTCAATAGTAAAAACAGGACACAATAGGAAAGAACATGCAACCCAAGGGCCAAACTTGTCCTACAGAAGGACAACACAGTTTTCCTGTGCACTACTTGTTGGTTGCCTTCAGCATCATAGCCTCCTTCTCTATGCCCTCTTCTTTGTCTGTATGTATTTGCAATACCTTTCCCTGTTACTCCTCATTCCTAGGTGTATGAGGTTCTCTGGTGCAGTACTTACCTAGGATACTCTGTTCCCCAAAAGAAAGGCTTTTGTAGTTCTCCTGCTGGGAATCCTGCAATAGAAAAAAAAATAGCAAGGTCAATTCAATACAGCTGAACATCTGAATAACAGTCCCAATGTCCAAGGGTTTTGATTTTGTTACCTCATTTTTTTAGTTTCAGAAGGCTTTCTAGAGGAGCTCTCTCTCAGGTGGTATTTTAAGAATGCAAGAGAGGATTTTTGAGAGGCAGCAGAGATCCTCCCTCTTTCAGGACCACAATGGCAATGAGATGCTGCACTGAATTAACTTTATTTTATTCCATTCCTACATACATTTCTGTGTGTGTAAGTGCATATGTTCCTGTGAAAAAAACACCTAGTGTTTCCTGTGAAGAATATTGGATTACCTTCAGCAGACAATATACAGGTAAAATGCAACAAGAATTCAAAAAGTGTTAGATTACTGATGCTTCAGTCCAGCAAGAAACAGGAAAGTGATAAAACGTAAGCCTAATTCTATATAATCTATGAAAATCAAAGGTAAATGAACATACTTAAACACTTTAGTAAAGCAGAGCTGTAGTTTATTAAGGCTGTAGGGTCAGTCTAGCTACAGGAATTAACTGGTTGCTTCTGGTGATCTAACTAGAAACCAAGAACCCACCAATGCAGACACTCTAGTGAGCAATGATTTACTGATGTTGCACATAGAAATCAAAATTGTTCTTCAAATTCAAAGTCACACATCTATATTTAATTCCAGGGTGACATTTCATTGCCAGAGTTCTGAAGACATTGGAACTTAACATTTAAAAGTTTAACAGCCTAAAGAACTGCTAAATAAAACAGACACCTATGGTCAAAACTTTTATATGATGGTGAAAAGTGCCATCCTTCCAGGCCTAAATGTGGAATTTACTGTCTTGTGTCATTAACTCCCATCTATAAAGGACAGGCACACACTTGGCTTTTAAGGTTACTCCACATGGACATCACCTTGTTGAGGAAGAACCAGTTTCCTCAAATGATGCACTTGCTTTCCCAGGAACAGCTGTCTCTTCAAGAAATCACCTGCACACTCAGATCAAAACAAAGACCATATTCACTCGACTCTAACCCTATTCAATTTTTTGTTGATAGATAGGTCATGGATTTCTTTATATGTCAGATAAATTATCAGGCAAAATCTTTGTCTTTTCCTAGAAAGCCTTTTAAAAACTTACTTTTGAATTAAAAACAAAACAAAACAGTATGATGAGTATAATTCATGTCAAATGATATGGCAAGTGGTATGTCCTCCTGGTCTGCCCATCTGTTTTTTTTCTCCTTCTCCTACCTGGCTGTCTTGATTTGCAATTAGCTAAAAACAGAAGTGTGGGGTTTGAACTTACTTTTGAGTGTTGACTGGGGTTTTTTTCCCCCTTTTTTACTTCTCCAGATGTTGCTTTGTTGGGGTTTTTCCCCCTCTTTTTTACTTCTCCAGATGTTGCTTTGTTGTTTCAAGCATGTTATTATTGCTTTTCCAGTGATTTTTTACTTTGTGCTACAAAACACAATTGTACCAATGTCGAGGATGAAATTTTCCTCATCTAGCTTTCCTTACCTCCTGGTGCACAGAGTATTTACTAGGCATGTTTTTAAACATCTCACAGCAACGGTTCACTCACACAACCTGATGAAAATTACTTGTTAGTGCCCTAAGTTAAAAGCTTATGTTAAGAGCTGAAAATCTAGTCTGAACTGGTTCCTTCCAAACACTAAGTCTCAGAAAAGGTTTTGGAATTATTAGGTTCTGCTAAACCTAAATGACCATCTTCCCACAACAGCAGATGAGTGGAATTCTGGCCAAAATGAACAAATGAGCCCATACTGAAGAGGATATGAACCAAGGTAGCAGACACTCCATAAATCATGTTTAGGGATCACATAAATCTGTGTGCCTGTCACTGCACCAAGAAGCTATCAAGATCTTTAAGAAGCTGCAATTGTTTTGTCCAGGTATAGACTGGTGTAGTGAACTTAGAGCTAACTAGGTGCAAATTTTCATTCATGCTCATCCAGCTATGAAATATAATCTAAATTGTCTTCATAGAACATTGCTGAAATACAGTCAGTGTGAGTTAAGGTATGAGATTAAGTTTTCACTGAACAAGTCATGTGAATGAATGACAAGAAGGTCCAATCCTGAATTCATATAACAGGTTGATAATTATTTCACTCAGAGTCAGGATCCATTTTAGGTAAGACATTGCTGAGCAAAGTGCTGGTTGAAGGAGTGGTTTCTGCTTCTGGGCATCTGTGTGAAACATCTCTGTAGTTTGATTGCACTGAAGGAACCTCAGGAAGTATTTTTAGGCCAAATCAAGAGTCCTAAGCCAGTAGAATGTAATACATATTTCAGAAAACCTCAGGAAATTGGAATATATTACCTCAAATAGGACTTTTTTAATTTGTATTTTTTAAGAAAAAAAATTATCTAGTTTTGAAAGCAATTCTTGGTCAGCTGGTATAGCAAAGGGGTCCTGTTATCCAAAGTTTAGTAGCACTAAATGAGGGAGAGTGTTTGTCCACTATTGCAACACTACTAGGAACAGATTTGGAATTGGCAACACGTGGCATCACTTTTTATGCAATGTCTCCTTCAGGCAAGCATCAACTTCATCATCCTGGGTAGGAGCAAGGATAACAATGCCCTAGACCTAGAATGTCCTTGTGATTGTAACAGGAGATAGATCACCTGACAGCTTCTTATTTTGTGCTGGTTAGAATCCCTCAATTTAGGCAATTCCCTTGTGAAGTCTGTTTCTTTTTTTGCTTGGCATGTTGCACTTAGAAGTATTAATGGCAAAACTCGGAGAGCTCATAGTAGGCTACAGATGCAATAAATACTAATGGGATTATTTATAAGCCACTGGAGCTCAAGTAAGCAAAGGACTGATCTGAAGGAGTAAGACAGACAGACTTCAGAGAATTTCACATCATAAGGAATGAATACAGGCACTGGGAATGTACACTGAGCTAACACTTCACTGTAAATTTAGCCTATAGTGCATCTTTTAAAGCTTTCTCCCTCTACACAGCCCCAGAAGATAGATACAGGCTGAAAGTCTCTCTCCCCATACACTATATTGCTGGTGCAGGCTCAGAGCCTACACTCACAGCCTTTACTTGCCTATCTTCTTACAGCCTTCCTACTTTCAAAGCTATGTCATTGGACTGCAGCATCGTTCTGAGATAGACCCTGGTGTCACTTGCCACAAAAACACTGTGGGTTGTGGTCAGCTGAGTTTGGGCTTTCCAAACCCCTGTGTTTGGACACTTGGACAGTGACTCTGCTGAACTTTCCTCTTACACACCTTACTGCTCTGGAACACAGAGGCAGTTCAAGCAGCGAAGTACATCTGGCTTACTTCAAATATTTCACTCAGTTTATGCTGACAGTGCTCTACCTGCATAGGACTACTTTTAATGTAAATAAAATTTGTTTTACTTCAGTGGCACCCAGTGACAGGATAAGGAGCAATGGCCATAAAATAAAACACAAGTTCCACCTCGACATAAGGAAGAACTTCTTTACATTGAGGGTGGCAGAGCACGGGAACAGGCTGCCCAGGTAAGTTAGGGAGTGTCCCTCTTTGCAGAACTTCAAAACCCACCTGGATGAGTTCGTGTGACCCTGCCTTGGCAGATGGGTTGGGCTAAATGATCTCCAGAGGTCCCTTCCAACCCTAACAATTCTGTGATTCTGTAGCTGAAGGTTTCTAGCTTCACTTTATCCATTATGGAACTTTCAACATCTCTCCACAGCAAGGTGCTATAAGGGCTTGTTAGAATGTATTTCAAATTTGAAGCTTTTATTTTTTCCAATTTTACTGGGGCTTTACTGCCATTAATGAATCCATTTACCAGCTAATACCTTCATGGTATTATTATACATACTTTTCAGATGAATACCCTTAAACTCAGTGTAATATTGTTAGTTCACTGAGAAGACACAAGCAATCTCATTTGATTTGATAGTTCACTGAAACGACACAGACTAAAAATGGATGTAGTAAACTAAAACCACACGAGATGACTCATCAAATCATGAGGAAATTTGGAGTTCAAATCGAAATATGAATTCAAATATTATATTTCAATTACATTATTCAGTTATGTTGCATGATGTTTTTTAATTGAGTAAGGCAAGACCTAGTAAAGCCTTACTCCAAGTTAGTGTATTTACAATTTCCAATAATTAGGTTGGTTTGTTTAAAGCAACTTCTGACAGGTTATGGAGTCCTGTATGTAAGTAATGGATATGGGAGACAGCTGTGCTAAATTCTGTGCTATACAAGGTACTCTGTCAATTCTCATACTGGCAATTCTCAGATGTGCTTAAAAGCTGCAACTTGTTTTTTCAAGTGTCACTGAATGAATTCAGATGTGGAGTTTTGAATGGATAAGATATAAGCAGAAGACTAACTGCTGGTCATTAATCAAAGGATATTGAATTCACATAAGGAATTAAACATGATGATAGCTAGAGTGCTGCTTAGTCATCTAAAAACAGCACAAAGGGCAGGATACATTTGCCTAAAATAGTTCCACAGATTTCTGTTTGGACAACTGAGTCCCATCCTGGTGATTGCATTGCGTGTCCTGCTTGGGCTCTAGCTCTCAGTCTCAATGGCAAGGGTCTCCTGCAAGTTCTCTCTCAGATACAACACACATGAGAAAACATATCAGATGCTATAGAGCACCCCAGACTGCTTTGAGCATCTATATGTAGGTGACAGGGATCAAACTCTCTGTGTAATATGGACCTTAATCCTACAGTTAATTTCAAGTTTTATCCTGTGGACAAAGAGGATAAAAAAACAAAAATTGTGTAAAGCACAGTAACTGTTCCATGCTGTGCCTGACTATAAAGCTTAACATTATGAGGAGTACTGAATAAATTGATTAAAGAGATAAAGGGAAGTGGTGGTCTTAAAGTAGAGGACTCAGCAGCCTCTGGCTCAACTCTTGGCTCAGTTTCTGCTTCACCTGACAAGAACCTCTTTACTGCTCATGAAAGAGAGAGAACCCAGTGTTTCCCAGACTCAGTGGGGCAACATGAGGAAAAACATGAGATGGTTTGTGAGGGATCAATGAATACTGTGTGCTAAGGGACTAGGAAACCTGTGAAAACGCTTTTTCTTTTTTTAAAAAAAGAAACTTTAATCTTTATTTTCTAAGGGAAAAAACACTCTCACGAGATTCCCTGGGGGGAGGTGTGTGAGGGCAGGGGCAGGGGGAGGAGAGAACAAAGGAAAAGATCTATTTTATACATTCATAGCTAAGAATTTTAGAGGAAAAAATACAGAATTGAGGTAAGGATCATGCATCATCTCACCTGTGACCATAATTAAATGAAAGAGAATACTGGTCGTTAGTAAATAGGAAAAAGTGAAAATGAGGGTTCACTTAAGAACACTTAAAGCTTACTTAATAATAGGGTTCAGACTGTGTTCAGTCCAAATCCATTATGTTCATTAACCTCCTGGAAACTAATGGCACACTTGAAACTACTTCATCAATAACCTTCCAATTAGTCTAGTTCTTAAGGGAAGAGAAAGTGCCCCTATGCACAGTCCCCTTGTCCTGTCCTGGCCACGGCACCATGTGCTGTTTGCCAGCACTTCCCTGGCTCCTGGCAAGTTAAGAGTTCTCCCTTGCAACTCACATCGTCAGAAAGATGCCAGCATCGATATCTGCATGATGCTTCCTGCAAAGATGATACTTATTGGCTAATACGAGCTCTCATCTGTGGTTTTTCTCTATGGATGCTAATTTGAATCCAATTTTTAAATTCTGTTGTAGATTATATCTCCTTCCTGTAACATGTAATGAAACTGCTCTCTAAAGAGGCCTCTTGACTTTCACTAGAGAACTGCAGTACCAGCACAAATGACTTAGAAGGAGAATGGATATAAACTTAGAGATAGTATCAACATTAGTTAATTATCCAGTACATCAATTCAAGCTTATACCTCATGATTGTGTTGCTTATATTTGCCTTAGTTCATTGTAAATCTCCCTTTCATTACTGTTCAAAACCTATAAATATTACTTTTTTCTGTATTCTAGAGGCATGCATATATACACTTGGAAAAAAATTAAAAACACCAAATGTCTGATGAATATTTCACTTCTATTCTTAACGTATTCAAGAGCCAATATTTTAGTGCTGTAATGAAACAAAATCTTTTCTTGAAGAGGAGTATGCTTTGATCATCACTTGTGTCTATTTTCAGCACATATTTGTTGACTGCTCTAGAGTGCATTAAAATAAACTAAGTCTTTTGGAATGTGTTTTTGGTGTTCCAATTATGATAATTAAAAAGGTAGTATTCACGCTGCTTAGATTATATGAAGTGTACTTAGATACCTTTTGAGACTCTAAAGGCAATGACATGTACCTGTTGTCCTCGTTAAGTACCTATAATTGAGGGGAAATTGACGAGCAAATGCACAGAAAATTGAAAAATTATCCAAACTAGGATTAAAAAATTATTAACAATCATTATAAACATGCATAGTGGTTAACTTAAGACACTTTGAATTATGGAAAAAGAGGAAATAAGTAAATACAGCTCATGGAAAGCGAACATCAGGTGTAAACTTGCATAATACTTTACTCTCATGTAAAGAGAACATCAGGAGCAGACTTGTATAATAACAAGATAAATTACATGTACCATAATTTTTAACTCTGCTCTTTGCAGCACATCTTACCTTGATACAGATACTTATTTCTCCTTTGGAGATATCAACTGAATTGTTGGCCATGCAAGCTATCAGTAGGTTAATAATAAAAATTAAATGAAGCAATAGGAAACATAAGGCTGTTTGCAGTAAGTGCAGCAAAATTTGGTACACCTACTGCATATGTAAGATTTACTGTATTCTCCCAAATCTAATGACTTTCCTAATTTTTCTAAATCACCTAGTTTCTATTCTTTATTAGTTTTCTAATTTTTAATTACCTTTTTCTTCCAAGTAATTGATTAGTCAAGTAGTCAAATTAAAAACACTAGCAGCTTGTCTGCATATGAAGGTCACATGGACTTGTGTGAAGATCGTGGCAATTTTTTAATACTTGTGTCAGTGATATAGACTACAGAGAGAAGAATTTGTGATCCTTCCATTAGGAGTGTGTCAGAGACTCCTCCCTGTGCTTGGATGGTTTTATTCAGAAAGAACCACCAAAATCCTTTTCCTCTTTGAAACAGTCCTAAAAGGTCTATGAATAGCAATGTCCAAAATTCTAGGTCAGATGGCAGCAGAACATGAAGGTCAGCAGTTAGGATAGAAAATACAACTGTGTCTACACCCATGACCGATGGGCTACGTTTGACAGCTCTCTGCTTCGTGACACTGTTAGACACAGCAAGTGTGAATTTTAGCTTCAGTGGCTCCTGCCTCTCATTACAGTTTTCTCTAATGTGCCATGGCAGAGAGGCCAAGAGAGCTGAACACTGCTGAAACTTGAAAGAACCCAATATTAAAGAAGATATAACAGTGATGGTTTTCATTTCGCACTGACCAGGCTTCCTCTCCGTTCACACCACACATCTGAAGCAGCAGTGGTGACTGCTGCTTAGTTCCACAGGAAGAGCATCTGTCATGCTTTGCAGGTACCTCAGGGCTGTGACCAGCTCAGGGAAGATTCAAGTGCTCCCTCAGATGATCAGCAAAAATGTGGCTGCTTAATGATGGCAGCCCTCTAATTAAGGTAGAGCTGTCCAAACCTAGAACTAATTTTAATCAAAAGGACTGCCTAATTATTATACACATTTTACAAATGAGATCACTTAGACATGAAAGAATTTAAGAGAGTGGTTTGAAGGCAAATTGTTTACAGAAATTAGGAGAAGCAGATACCAGCAGCCTCAAATTGCCAGTCCTCTGCTGTAACCTCTACAGCGTGACACATTAATTTTGTGCCTTTCAAAAAAACTGCTTCTCTCTGTGACCAAAAGAGATTCAGGAGAAAAAGGGGGGGGAGCCACTCAGCAATTTTTCATACACCTGTCCCTGGGGACCAAGACCATGGAGGTGATGGCAGCCACCTTCCAGACCACAATGATACAGAACAAGAAGGCTGATTTAATTTGCAAAGCTAGTAAGAGCAAAGAGAAGCGTTGGGGTAAAGGTAACAATATTGTACACAGAAATACTGGTATAGAATTTTAAAGCCTGTTAGAAATTTTCAGTGCAAAGTCCCATTAAAGCAAATGGAAATGAACATCCAAATCCATAGATATATTTGAAAAGCTCAGCTCTTTTACCTCATATGTTTTCATACTAGGCTTTATGCTATCTAAAAACAACCAGTAACTAAAATTAGCATGAGACAGGTAGTAGTGTACATACAAAATAATTTCATAAAACTACACAGATAAGCATTTTAAGTTATCTACATATATCACTCCTTGTCCTTGAAGGTATTGGACAAATCTTCTGGACATACTTTCTTAGGTTTTCTGGTCTATATCACAGTCTCCTCTTGCTACGTATCTATTAATCCTAGAGGACAGAATTGCTATTGCCATATATTTATGGAACATGATTTTGCTCCCAAAAACAGAACACAGAAACATTAAGTTTTAATAAAAGTGATTTAAGCTATCATTTGCAATGGACAGAGTATACACACAAGGTCACTGCAACTCAGCTGACATGGGGTGATTCATCAAACAACAGTCATTCAAATTTGTGTGAGCCCTTGGTTTTCCAGAACTATCCTCTCACTTAAGAAGTCTCATAGCTGAATTACTAGGTTTGAACTTTTGATTTTCAGTCACAAATACCACAAATGGTACAGTTATTATCTGAAGCTTGGCACATACATTTCCCAAACATGCATTTTATAAGGAGGCTCAGAAGTCAGATACTCACTGATCTGGTTGGTAGATGCACTATAAAAAGCATTTACAGTAGTTGGGCTTGTAAACCACCTGTCGTAAGAGCAAAAGAAATCTTGTCAGTACACCTACTCATCCTTATGAACATAAGGAGCAAAAATAAAAAATGAACTCAGGAGAAGGAAGTAAAAATATTAAAGACCTAGGATACATTAAAGTTTAGGTATTTCTCCATTTCAACACATGATACCTACACATTCCAGAACACTGAAATCTATTGTTTAATGTCTTTAAGTCCATACAGTCAATGAATGCTCAACAGGGGCAATTCTTAAGTTTCCGTTTACCTAATCTGTTTAATTTTTAGTGACCCTTGCTCTTGTGAGGTCTCCAATGCTGGCACACTGAGGTTCACCCAACAGAGGCTGCAACACTGGCAGCAGCTGTGAAAACTCTCTTGGGTGTCTTTCAACCATGTGTGGAGAAACTCCCTTTTGAAATTAGAGAGCATTTTTAAATGAGTGAAGTGGCTTCAGAGGCTTTGCTGAACAACTACTTGAACAATCCAGATTATGCCAGAAACACAAGCAGGTGCTTTCTGGAAATGTAAACTCAAAATAAACAGCTTCATGTTCTGTACCCTACACATGGCCATTGCTGTGCTTCTAAACAAATAGACTTCTTGCCAGACATTTCTTCTCATAGTTTGATTTCTCATACATACCAGAGGAAAACCTAGATTTGAATAGCAGTTGGACTTCAACTCAGAATGTTCTAGGATTAGCAAATATGATATATGAATCTTCTTTAGCCCAAGCCCATCTATGCTGACAGAGGCTTCAACCATACCAGTGGAAAGCCTCAACTAACTTCAGCAAGATCCAAATCCCTTCAGATGAAACTGAGTTCAGTGTGCCCGAGATTTCACTCTATTATTTTATAAGGAAGAACTGAGATAAAAGTAATGAAGCTATTGAGAATTAGTGGTTAATTCATAGTAAATTAGAAGTAACTCTAGTAAATGTCCAAACAGGAACATCCTGATATCTTTAGCAATGCATTACTCAAAAGTTCTATAAAGCCACATGAATACAACATAATTGCTTTGGAAAATTTCTTTCAAGGAGAAGAGATTGGAGCTGCAAAACAAAGAGTAAGACAAAGGACGATCTATCCAAACATGGAAAATGTGTGATATCAGTGACAATTGTGCTCACAATCTGTGCTTTAAAATAGCACCATCAAATGAATGAGTCATCTGCAGATCCTGACTGTTTTTCTGACAACTAATGTCCTTACATAAACCATGTAATAAAAGGGAGTTCTAAGGTGGCAGCATTTTGGCTTTTATCAACCAGTTTAACTGCTTCTCTTATTCTCCAAACTGAGTAGCTTAATTTACAACGCATCAACTAGAAAAACTAACCAATAAAAGCAAAAAGTGATGTCATGCACATATCTTAACCATCCATCATATTATAGGCTCTAATTGCCACAGATAACTCTCCTGGGTTTGTTTATTAGGAGATTCTGAAGGGGAGGAGTAGAGGGAGGTTGTTTTCTGGTGTCTTATCTGTTTCCTCCAAAATAAGGTGATTAAATGTTAAAGGTAATGTGGTGAGATAATAGAAAAATGAAGAAAGAAGGTGTATGGTGGGGAGGCAAAAAAAATTAGAGGGCTTAATTGACTACATTTCAATTCCATGATAGTTCACAGCAGCAATCAGCTGAACTGTTTTGAAGGATGCAAGCCTGACACTTATGCACTGGGACCTGCTCTCCAAGCTTGGATCTGGAAGTCTGTCCTTTTTTTTGACAAGGAGAGAACCCATCTGAAAGGGACCCATCTGAAACACTCAATGCTTTAGTTTGAATTGTACTGGATGTTTGAACAAAGACATAGTGGTGTGACTTCTATCTCATCCTGTTGGCTTGTTCTACTTAAAATGGACATTCTGTTCTCTTAAACAGCAACTTTCAAGCATGAAAATGTCTTCTGGGACAGCAAAGCCTCCCTTTTGCAAATCCTTCTTTGCCCAGGTGTCATACAGGGCCTCTCATTTCTAGAACTGAGGGCCTGAGACAGATGACAGATACTTCAGACTAATGTGCTTTGCTGTTCTCCCCACCTTCTTTGCTGCTCCAGCCCTGAGGGCTTACCACAGCTAGCTGAAGACAGGAAACACCACAAGCAGCAGTCAAAGAGCTCTTCACTGACAGGCAATTGTTCTCTAATAGTACAAGTTTTCTCCCATTTTTATTGGGTGAGAAACTAACCAGTAAGACATGTACTTGCCACCATAGGAGCACCTCACTCTGCCCAAGAGCAACAGTGAATGCTGTTGCCATTTGGTCCACAGATACCAAGGAAGGACATCACACCATCCTCTGGGAATACTTTCATACCTATGAACTCATAGACCTGTAGCTTTCAGAACCCATCCTGTTTCCTAAGCTTTGCATGAGTCAAAGACCAATAGCAGCTTGATTTTCTCACTGCAAAACAGGGGAGAAGAAGAAACAAAGCAAACAGAAACAAAATCCCAAGGGTAATTATCTATTAACAAAGCAGCAAGCTTCACCAAAGGATGTGTGGAGTTCTATGAAATGTAAAAGTTTAGGAAAACAAAAACAGGGAAAAAAAGAGAGGGAGAGAAGTTAAAGCATCAGAAAGCAGCAGAGCATGACGGTTTAAAAGTGGCAAGTGGCTGATATTTTTGAGGCTAGGTTTGACATGCCTCAAGACTGGTGAGTGGGAGTGATTTGTTTATTTTAATAAACTTTTAAAAAATTACTGGAGGCAGCAATGAGTCTGTGCCTTGGTACCCCTCAGCACACAGTGACACTTTCAGAGCCCTTTTCTATTGCTGAGCAGTTGCAGAGACACAATAATCTC